TAATGAAAGGGGGAATGGTTCGGAAAGCTAAACAAAGGAAAGGGAAAAAGCAGAAGAGGGAACTACAGAAAAAAGATCGAGAGAGGGAGGAGGATAAAATAAATAATTGGAATGAGAAATGAAGGGAAATAATAATGGGAAAAAGGAGAATTTAGAGAAAGGACCAGAAAATAAAGAGAAATAGGAAGAATGAAAAGAAATTACATAGTTAGGAGAACGAGAGACAATGGGTAAAAAAGGACAGGGAAGGGGATTCTGCAAAGTAATGTGTTGTGATATATAAGAATAAATATTTGAAAATAGATAGTATTGGAACTGATATTTTTCCCCTTTTCTAAGTATTATTGTTATACCAGACATAGAATTTAATGAATAGATATGGAAATGGGAATTTATTATAAGAATATTAATTCACAATTAGCGATGTATAAAATTATGAGAATTATAATGGAAAGATTAATATCAGTTTTTATAATTCAATATTTTTGCAATATACAGATGGTTTATAAGGTGATTCAGAAAAATACTATGTGAAATCAGACTTAAAATATATGTATATCTGATATTTAATAGATAGGAACATATTGTTATTAAAGTAGAATGAAGGCGGTAAGCTCGAATTGATAACTAAAGGGGGTAATTTTTATAAGTAATAGAACAAGGATTGGTAAAATTTAAAATGTGACAGATAAAAGTAATATGTCCAATGAACATAGAAATAAAATAAGAATTTTAGAAAATATTGTAAAGTAAGATATGAAAATATCCTAAGGAAAATGAAATAAGTTAAGATATGAATTGAAATTAGATAAAATAAGTTTAATGAATTTAATATTAATAAGTAATAATGTGATATGAAACTGAATAAGAAAGATGAATTTGTAACTATGGTCATGTTTGTATTGAAATGTAAAAACCTGGAACCACACTGCTTGCCAAAAGAGAGGGTTTTTTTAAAATTAAAAATAAAAGAAGAAACTGAATAATGAAATTATCATGTATGTTTAAATAATATGGTGATTGGCATCAGAAGAATGTATTGCAATGTTGAATAATTAAATAATGAAAGATTATAATTTAATACAAATATGTGTATTAACATTAGAGATATAATTAATGTTATTATTTTTATTTGCACCAAAATGTATGATGTTTAGATGCCACACTGTTTATGTATTGATGTATATATGTAGAACAAAATTAAAAATTTGGGGGGTGGGGAGAAAGAAAGGATTGGGATTACCTCCCTTGCTGCTGTTCTCTCTCCGTCTCTCTCTCTCTCTCTCTCTCCCTCCCTCCCTCTCTCCCTCCCTCCCCATTTTAGAAAGTACTATAAAAGATATATTGTTCTGAATCTCCTACAAAGGTCACATATCACTGGTCTTAATTATCCTACTAGGTTTTGTCAAAGAATTTCCAAGCTTCCAAGGCCACTTTGGCCCATGAAAGATTATGGAAAAGCAATGTCTTCTTGCCAATGAAAAGGCCACCAACTCTTTATTACATCAGAAGCTCTATTGCCCGACCTTTGACCCTAAGAAGCTAGAAGATAGGCTCGGTGTTTTTTCTGCCCAACTGGAAGTTAGTTCTGAGGGGCATAAACTGAATGTCATACAAAAAATGGCAGTCTTTCCTCAGGTCTTTTCACTTTAATTCTATTGTGATTTTATAACCTTGCTGAATTTGCTTTATTTGAACATTGTTCTAAAGATCCCTGAAGGGCCAATCTTAATAATTATTTTAATCAATTGAAAGATAAAGCAGGGAAATACCCAGAAAGGGTCAAGGGAGGTTGTGCAGAGCACATAAAGAGGAGGAGGGCTTTGAGCATGTGGTGATGGATACCATTTTGACTTTTTTGATCCCCATAGATGAAACTGGATCCCAGAAGGATTAACTTACACTCAAGCCACTTTAGCTGTCATATTAAACCTTAGCATATGAATACTCCTATTTTGCAAGCCAGAATGTCACAATGAAATAAGATATATTTTTGTGATGTTACCAAGCCTAGAAGGACTGCATCGAATCCAAAGCCAGATCACAATTAGTAGCAGGAATGCCAGTATTCCTATGACAGACAAAGGTATTGCATAATGTTGACAGTCATTTCTATGGAAAGTCCTTGTTTCTGTGGGAAGTAAGGAGAGCAAAAGGAAATTGGTTTAGTCATGACTGCTTAGTAAACTCAAATCAATTCTATCTTGCTCCTCATTTTACAAATTTGGAGAAATGGAATGGGAAGAGGATCCTTCTTCGCTGATTACTTTCACCTACTTCAGCATTGCTCACACAGATAAGTTGTTTTACAAAACTCTGAATTATCTTGTGACCTTTTTAATGGTCAGATTGGCAATCAAGGAGTATTCCAGACAAGGTAAAGTGTTCACGGCATTAGAAAGTTGACTCACTGAAATACCGCTTCAAACCTTGTGGGTGAAAAAGAACCAACGTTTTATCACAGACATAGAAAATAATTTACCTGCGTACAGTGTGGTGCTCAGATTCATGGACATGCCCGATGAATTGAATTTGGCTTTGCAGATAAATTCCTCCCCACCGATGGAAGAGTTTTCAGGGATGTAAAGGATGCTGACAAATGTTAAGGAACCACTGTGGTTTTTCATTAAAAGTGTCTGTCCATCTTGGAGAACATGAGCGGCATCCCAGGATATCTGGATCCAATTGGAAACTCCGTGAACCACACAAGCCAGCCGGCTGCCACTCTGTATTGCCTGGTCTTGTGCAGAAGGTTGTAAAATCATCATCCAGCTGCTTGAGGTATAACTGTCTGAGGAGGAGGAAGTGGAGGGGGAGGAGGAGGAGGAAGGGATGACAACTGAATAAACAAATGACCCTTTGTAATTAATTATTAAATGGACAACTGCTTTCAGTGGATTCGCTAAACAGAATCTTAGCCCTACTAGGCTAATCTGTATTTCCATTTCAAATCCATTATTTACCTCCTGCTTACTGCAAAACCTGGACTCTGAAAAAGGCAGCTAGGTGGATGCCTTTGAACTAGAGTGTTGGAAGTGACTATTACATATCCCATGGACTGCAAAAATAACAAACAAACTAAGTCCTACACTGAACCTCACCAAAGATATCACTTTGAAGCCAAGATCACCAAACAGGGGCCATGGACATGTCATGAGAACTGACTCATTCAAAAAGTCAGTCATGCTGGGAGTGATCAGCAGTAAAAGGAGAAGGGGCCACCCTAGTACCCGTGAACTGGACACTATAAAAGATGACACTGGGATGACCATGACGGACCTGAAGGAGGCAGTGCAAGACAGAGGGGCATGGAGATGCTGATCCATAGAGCGGCCAAGGGTCAGACATATGACAGAATGGCTGACAATGACAACTTACCTCCCACAATCAAAGAGAATGCACTGACAAAGTTTAAGGAAATGAAACTTTGGGATTTGTCTATACACAGGTATAAGCCAGTATCCTCTACTTTTGTATTGAAAATTTCTAGTGTCAGCACCTGTGCTTCAGTCTTGCACTTAAATTTCCCATTGCTATCTTCAAACCCACAACTATTTGTTAAAAGCGTTAGTTTGGTCTCTTCTCTTTTATACCAATGCATGTTGGTAATGTTTTTTGAAGAATTGTACACAATTGTTGCTTTTTCCCCAACGTCCACAAACAGGAACTGATCATTTTGGGCTTTGTATACTGCGAAGACAAAATAAGAATAATATATTGGGATTCTAATTTTAACGATGTCAGATCAGAGTCAGGGAAGTCAAAAATCACATTCACCTCAGTTACATACAGATCTCTCCGGATGACCTTGGGCCACAGGTTATGAGGCCTGTTTCCCATTAGATGAAATATATACTATAATGGGATAAAGTAAGTAATTTAAAAGGCAGCATTATTTCTTTGTTAGAATACCAGGTCCAGGTTCTGCCAGGTCCAGTCTATGAATGCCATAGGGACTAGGTCTTTATTGGCTTACGTCCAATAGGCAGAATCTTGCCAGACTAAAGATTTACTACTCTTACCCCAACAGATAAGTCCTGGGAAATTCTAGGGAGTGGCTATCCTAATTCTCTTCCCTTGTATTCTAACCAGTATTCTGGGTTGCCTTTTGTTTCACTCCCTCCTTAGAATGGGATCCTTCCTTCTTAGGAAGCTACTCCACTATAATCCATCACATCACCTCCCTCTATGTAGGCACTATCCCTCACATCTTCACTAGAATAAAACAACTGAATTAGAGTTATGGAGAAAACTCTTTAAGAAATCAAGTTAGACAACTACAAAAGCTACTGTGGCACTTCAAAGACTAATTTTATTTGATTTCATGGATGAAAACTGCTAAAATGTTATCAAACTACCACAGTTTTTTCCCCTTCCTGCCACTTGTAGAAAATCTCTTCTATGAATCATATCCAAGAGTGCTTGTCTAAGAGATTTCTGATAGAACAGATTGGACTTACCGATGGAGAACAAGATAAGGCATCTGGTGAACTGCATTGCTAAAATCAGCATTGAAAAATGGGCTAGCAATTTGTGTACCAGGTGGGTGGTAACAGTGTTGATAGCAAGCCATCAAAAAAACATTGGTGGCATGTGATTCACCTTTTTGGTTGACACAGTGATGTGGATTCCGCTGCCTGTATTTCACCACCTCCTGTTTGACTTTGTTCTTCACATCTTTAGAACAGGATTGCGGGGTATTTTCATCCACTAGGTTAGTTTGGAGGTCACAGTTCTTGCTTGTTGGCTTCTTTGCCTTACAAGCTGATTTTAAGTACTGTTATACCATTATTTGGGAAGAATAATATTGCAGTACTCAGTAGAATTAGTGTGTGTGGAGCGGGGCTTGGATGTCTTCATTGCTTAGCAACTTGTCTTCCTAAAACCCTACCCGCTTTCCTTTAAAAATGGAAGAAGTTAGCTATCAAAGGCAGATCTAAAGTTTTCCCAATTGAAGATATTTTCCTTGCCCCTCTTAATCTTCCATCTCTTTCTCTAAGGAGTGACAGGAACTCTAAAGGTGTTGCTGTGCATGGACCAAGTTTAAATCAAACTATTGAAAATTAACTGTAGAGGCTGGAAACTGAAGATGTTTTCCCATTGTGCTGCGATTCTTCTACTTGTCTTGCGTGGTAAGTATTTTCAAAACGTAGTCTTATTCAGATTCAGAATTTAGTGCTTGATTATCATCAAGGAAAGGGTGCTTCCAGGTGAAGTTTTTCTCCATTAATCACTAGTTTATTTCTCTCACCTGTGTGCAGTGCAGCCTTTATTTACATTTAAATACACACACAACATCAGGAGGGAGAGATTATTATGTTGTGTCTATGATTGTCAGAATGTGTCTTCAGACAGGTTATCTCAATGATCATTTATAGCACATCATTAAAAATAAGCAAATCATTACCTGTCAGCTTTCAATATTTCCTATCTGCAGAGCACAGCTTATAGCTAACCAATTATTGTTCTTATAATAACATTAGAAACACGGGAGCACTAATTTGCAAAACAAATGGAGGAGTATTTTGCAGGCAATGTTTAAAGCTATTTTCTGACACCCATACTGGTTTTAAATAAATTCTACAGAAATCCATGTTTTCTACACGAAATAGTTTAACACTTGAGTTGTACAGTTTCTGTATTTTATTTCTATTTGCATAATACCTTCAGAAATGCAACTCAAGAAAGTTCCAAATTTTAACTTATTACATAGCATGCATTGTTTATTTGTTTATTGATTGATGGGTTGTGAGGCTTCTACACTGATAGTGTATAGTGCTATTAGTTTGCTGTGAAGACTGTGCCAGTATGCTAATTACTCCATTCAGCCACGGTGATGCTTTTGGAATTTATTGTAGAGGAGGAAATCCATCTTAAGGTAGACTGCAAGAATGAATGAATTGAACCAATGAGTGAAAAAATCATATACAGAGAAAAGGGACACATTCATATTTTCTCTCTGATTCATTTTGCAATAAAAGATTTCTTTGTTTTCTTGCTCTAGCAGCTGATTCACAGGGTAATGAAGTAAAAACGATTGAGGTCCCTTTAGGAGGCATGGTAAATATCAGCTGTGAAATTTCAGCTGAGGCTTTGGCATGGTCCCTGACCTGGTACAAGGAAGGACAAAACAAAAACTTGCGCAAGATTGATGACAAGAACTTGAAAACAGACCAAAAGTGCACCTCACACTTCTGTAATCTGATTATCAACAATGCGCAAAGGAATGTATCTGGTACTTACACCTGTATTGTAAGTCAGGAATTTGGAATACTACTCATGCACAGCACAAGAGTGATAATCACAGGTGAGAATTCAAGCAAATCAATAACTCAGTGACCTTGGGCCAGCTATGCTTTCTCAGTCCATCCTACTGTACAGAGCGTTTGTGAAGAAAAATGAGAAAAGTCTTACGTGTACCACCCATAATCTTGATGGAGAAGTAGGAATACTTCTCCTTTTGATTTCCTCTTTGCGTGTATTGTTCACAATAGGCTATAAAATGGATTGGTCTTTGGCTGCTATAATTTGCTTTACTTGTGTTATCATCTCTCAAAATGTTTGTTTTGGTCTGATTGTTAGCCTATCCATCAATTTTATGAATGTGGTAAGATAACCAAATTATTATTACTATATAAATAAATTTAATTCAACCATATAGTCCAAAGGGAATTTAAAAGAATGAACACAAATTCATTGGTGGAAGGGAATATGTTTTAAATAGTTCTGTCCAAAAACAAACAAATTCTTTAGTTGATCGTACAAGGCTTTATGAGAGAATATGTGTGAAAATTTGTTTTAGGTCTTTTTAAAAATATATATTTTCTTCGTAGCATTTTCCTGCAAGTGTAGGGTCCCTTTTTTCTTCTTTTTCTTTAGATGAACACTTGGCTGATCTACTGGTTGCAACAGGAATTGACTGAGTGGCTTGTCAACAGAGCCTGACATTATGAACTGAGACAGTGTGACTGGCCTAAAGTCTACCACTTGACTTTCATGCCCAGGGCTGGACTTGAACTCATGGTCTCCTGATTAGCTTGGTCGCCTAGGCTAGCTTGGTCGCTCAACAGGGAGACACTGGTGAAGCGGCCACAGCAGCACCTACGTTTTCTGTGTTGCGTGTGAAAAGTTCATCTTCCTTCCACTGTCCTTATCACTTTCTACAGATCAAGAGCATCCTGTCATATTGCATTACTGTCTGGTTTGGAAGCGTTACTATTTTGGACAGGAAAGTGGTACAGAGAGTGGTGAGGATGGTAGAAAAGATCATTGGTAGTTCATTTCCTTCTATCCAAGACATAGCATATGTAGATATATTTATGTATTTATGTACATACCTATATGTCTTATGTATGTATTTGCATAGATACATACTTTCTTTTGAGAGCAAGCAACAGAATTTCATCTTTAATGTGTGCCAGTGTGCTCACAGTAAAAACTGACAATATGGGTTATCTTATCTTCTTTCTAGCCTGGTGACTTAACCACTAGACCAAACTGCTTTAAGTTTTAAAATGCTGGTATGATTTACTATCTGAATTGCTGATTCACTTCTACATGTTCAGATTTACTGTAAAAGAGTTTATTTTTTTAGAAAAAACACACATTCATAAATTGATTATGTGCAATCAAGTTATAATGACTCTATGTGACCACATAGGTAAATTCTTTTCCATAATGATTGTCCTCTACTTTGGTCTTTCAAGTGTACCAATTCATTGTGATTGTAACAGTCCATCCACTTTGCTGTTAGTCATCTTTTTTTATTTTTCACGTTTCTCAGCATTAGAGCCTTCTCCAGAGAACTAGTCACATAAGTCAAAACACATACAATTTTTTTTAAAAAACCCCCAAACCCCAAAAAACCAAATCATCAACTGCAAAGAACAATTAACATTTCCTTATAATTACTCGTATTCAGTGTTATCACTACTCCCTTGATTAGCATAAGCCTGGGCTCCAACATCATAATCTTATCTCTTCAATGTTTATCTATTTCTTTGTGGTAATCAACAAAATGCCACTAATTCTTTAGCATGAATATCTGCACTAGAGCCTAAAAATGTATCCAATAATGCAAAGTCATATTTTAATTTATTTATAACTTTCTCAATCTCCAAGAACACCTTAGAATACCAGAAACAGTCATAGGATTTAGAAATAATGTTTTTTAAAGTAAACTTTATTTACAAGAATTAAAAACATACAAATTTTAAAAATACAAAAACAATAGTAGGTAAATAACACATACCTCTTTACATTTGATATCGAATTTGATAAGTCCTAATAGTCAGTACTAACTGATACTTATCACATTTTTATTTACTATCACATCTTAATCACTAAATAATTCACAATACTCTACTAATCTTCTCGTTGGTTTATAACTATTATTTAATTAATAATACATTCATATTATTTAAATAATGAATAAAAAGATATAGTAAATATATAATGATAATAATGTAAGAGAAAAGAGGATTTAAAACCTTTGTTATTCTTATACATTTCATACAGACAGCTGAATATAATTTGTTTCTTGGGTTCATTTACATGTTTTTCCCTTGTAATCTACCTAATTGTACCATTTATCCCATATCCTGTAGTAATCTGTATCCTCCTTCCCATTAATTTTGAGCGTGAGCCTCTCCAATTGGGCACACTCATACGTTTTTTGAATAGCAACATGTATCCTTGGTACATTTGGTTTCTTCCAATATTGTGCTAATGAAATCCGTGCCGCTGTTAATAAGTGGATGGTCAGATATCTTACTTTAGAGGTATAATCCTCTTTGATCATTCCCAACAGGAACAGTTCTGGTTTCCACTCCAGCCCACACTCTATGATTTCTTCTATCCATACTTTTATTTTTAAACAAAAAGAAAAGAAAAGAAAAGAAATGCTGTTAACCAAACTCAACATAGGTAATTTAGAGAGCAAATTTAATCTACTATTTAAGGCACCTGGTTAGAAAGTAGAAGACTGTGAGCATAATTCCTGATTTAGCCATGAAAGCCCACTGGGTGACTTTGGGCCGGTCACTTTCTAAGAGTGCAACCCATCTTACAGCTTTGTGGGGAAAATAGGAGGAGGAAAGTGGTTGGATGTGTTTACCATCTTGAGTTTTTTTCAATAATAATAATAATAATAATAATAATAATAATAATAATAATGGTGGGATAAAAATGAAAGAAAGAAAGAAAGAAAGAAAGAAAGAAAGAAAGAAAGAAAGAAAGAAAGAAAGAAAGAAAGAATTCAAGGGATATAAAGCTAATAATAATCTTTATCACTTTTCATCTCTTGTAGAAACTTTGAAACCAAATCTTTCCATCCTTGTGCCATCCTTCTTGCAGGATGAACCACTGAAGCATGATATTCCTCTGCTCTGCACCCTTTTCAATGTTATCCCTAATTCAAATACTTTCCTTTGGAATATTAATGGAAAAATATATCAGGATAAGATGGATGCTGACATGATAGATGGGAAAGGAGCTTTCAGTATTTGGAGCTTGAAACTGATTCCCCCAGAGGATTGGCAGCCCGAAATGTCTTATGGTTGTTCATACCCAGGGAACATGACGGTGCTGCAGTCTTCACAACAGGAAGTGTCCTCAAACAGGAAGATTCACAGGTAAAGCAAGGCAAAATAATCCAATCAATTGATTTATCCAGAAATTATAATATAATCATCTCCAACGAGCTGTCCTCCGGTTATGTTGAGCCACATTGCGAAATGGGGCAAAATTCACTTAATAACTGTCTCATTTAGCAACAGAAATTTTGGGCTCAATTGTGGTCGTAAGTCGAGGACTACCTGCATTTGTGGGTGAGAAGATACAGTATGAGACCTCAAAGACATTGCTCTATAAAAAGGCAGAGAACAACAGGTGAAAAAGCGGTTGAAGTGAAAAAGCAGATAAGGATTTCTGCAACAAGAGGTTGAGATAGATTATTTGAGAGGAGGGACATGAATGAGAAGGCAAAGGAATGTGAATAGAAGACTAGGACACTAAAGTAGCTCCTAGGAAATTCTTACTAATTTCACTTCTTTCTCAGGACAAAATTAACCTTGGTTTGGAGATCTAATTACAAGCAGGGAGGCCTACACTGATGATCATCCATCAATGGAAAGACTTCAGCTCCATGCATTTTGGCCCAGTGGCTAGTCTAACAGATGGTATTGTTCCCTGCTCTCCATTCACACAGTCCTGATTTCTTTGGGGTTATTCCACATCACCATTCTCTTTTGAATTGCACTGTTGGTTTATTGTTCAGAAGATATATTTTTTAAGTAATGCATTTGACAATAGCTTTGCCTTTTAAAAATTATTATTTGATTCCTAAGGTCTTTCTCGTGCTCATGCTCTTCCCAGAAAATGAGGATAAGTCAGATATTCAGGAATAAGATCCAACATGTATTCGGCTTACATGATGGCATTTTGGAAAGTTCATATTGGTAAAGCATTTTGAGATCAAGCAGTAGGATTATGCTAGAATTAATTTTTAAAAAAGGAAGACTGTACAGGGAGTGAGAATGGAAGACTATACAGGGAAATATATGCATTACATATGAGCTGGGTATTAGGACATTTATATGTGAATAGATTTCTTCACCCTTAAAAAGCTAGGATGATTGAAGGTAGTTTCCAGACCAGTAATGGCTGGGATAATGGACCAGAAAATATGTTTCTGAAACTAATATCTTCTGTTACTATATTTTCATTTTAGCAATTTTTGTTCTCTTGTTAGAGCTGAACTGTTTTATTTAAGTTGCCATGTTAATTAAAAGAGCCTAGGATGCAGAACAATAGAAGCAGTCAGTTAGGATTAAAAATAATAACAGAGAGACCTTAAAAAAACCCTACTCAGGCAGTGTTCCAAACTTAGCCACTCTAGAGTTTCAACCCCAAATAGTTATTTAATGTTGCATCGGTGTAATAGAACACAGCAAAACAAAATTCAAAGTAGCTTTCTGATGCAAAGTTCAAATGGTAGCAAATAAAGAAAGCATAATCATTGGTGAGACTGACATTGATCTTCCTGGTTTTTTTTTTCTTTAGATCAAAGAAGTAGAACTAAGTGGGAGAAGGTTAAATGTGGCTTAGAAGGATTGAGAGTTTTGTATAATAAATAGAAGATGGAAAGACTCACAAAGAAGAAAGTGAATGACAGAATTTAAAGTTCAACGTGAAGAACAGAAGTGCTTATGTTAAGTCTGAACTGTCCATAAATCACGACGCCAGTGGCCAAAAGAGTCATACGCAATTCTTTCACACCAAAATACACTTTGCTTCCAACAAGGATTACGAGCTAGTACGCTTCCTTATATCCCCTGAGGGGGCGTGTCAGTCTCACTAATTAATCACTGGCTTGACGCTTCTTTTCAAATTGTGATTGACGTTTCAATCTTCTTCTAGTCCTAGCATCAAGCCAACATCCGTCAGTGTCGTCATCGCTCGAAACCTCTGGCACGTTCTCCTGATTGTCTGTTAACAGCTGAGGTGTAATCAGGGAGGGAGATTCAGGGGAGGGAGAGGACTCCGAAACCTCCAGTAAAGCAGGCTCATCTCTCAGAGCCAACTCCTCCCCCTCTTCCTGACTCCCCTCTAAGTCACTTAATAATGCAGGCTCGAATCTCAATGCCAGATCTTCTTCATCACTCGAGCCTACATCTGCTGACTGACCAGGTTCAAGTCTCGGAGTCACAACACATAAATATCATTTTATCTTAGCAAAACCCTTAAAAGGTAGCTAGATCTAGGGATAATAGCCATTCTAGGCCTCTAGCTAGAAATACAGTTCAAAAGAGGTTCTTTCTTTATTTTAGAAAATGTATATTGCTGCCTACTTGCATATGGTGACTCAAGATGGCTTATACCAGGGGTGTCAAACTCCCAGCCCATGGCCGGATGCGTTATATGCTGGCCACACCCAGGCCCGGTTGAGTGAAGTGGAAAAAAGTTGCGATACGTCACGTGACACTGCTGTGACACTGTGAGTGTCACACCCCTCTCTTACACAGATATATAAAAACACCACATAAAAGAAATAATAAAATAATAAAATAATAAACCCCCCCCACCAGTGGTGGGATTCAAATTGTTTTACCACCGGTTTGATGGGCGTGGCTTGGTGGGTGTGCTTTGCCTAACAGCTTTCCCAATACAGCTGAGACCAATCAGCTGAGAGAATAAAGAAGAGAAAAGTGCAGGGCCAATGGGAGGGCCAATCCTGATCTTTTCTCTTCTTTTTCCTCTCAGCTGATTGTCGGAGGATTTTTTTTCCCTCCTCTCAGCTGATCGTCAGCTTTTTTTTTACTACCGGTTCAGCCAAATGTTCCGAAACAGTAGCATACCACCACTAACCCCCCACCCAGCCCAGTGGCAACACACATTCATACAAGTTATTTAATGGGCTCCATCCCACACTGGGTTCCCCAGGCCCGCTGGCAGAGCCACGTCTTCAGTGCCTTCTGAAAGAGTGTTAGAGTGGGGGCCAGTCTAATCTGTAGTGGAATGATGGTCCGGGGGGGGGGGAGGCAGATCAGATCATGCAGCTTGTCAATTGTTAATTATTTTTCCTCATGTTCCTGGATCACAGTACACGAATGTTCTGTCTTTGCTTGCAAGTCTACCATTTCTCCAGCTATCCTAGTATGGCACTTACTTTTTAAAAGTAAGTTCCTTACCTACATTTGGAAAGCATTAATCTGAATAGTTGTGAACTATGCCCGAAGATCCATCCTTTTGCCAAGTTATTTTTTCTTTCAATGTTTATATGGATATTCGTGTATGCCCCCTGTGATTAAATTATACTGCAAATGTTCCAGATTTTGCATTTTACTTTTATGCTTATGAAATCATGTTTCATTAAAATGTATGTACATTACTTTCAGTATGGGATAAGAAAATGTACACAAACAGAGGGAGGGAGGGAGGGAGAGGAAGACAGAGAAATTCATAAGAATTATTTGGTGAACTGAATGAGAACTAAGAGGCATCATCTTACAAGAGTCATTCATTTACACACAGTTCTTATCTAAGAGCTAGGAAAATAGTCTTCTTGCCATGATATGCAAATATATGCCAGTTCTGTCAAGGTAAAACTCAAACAAAGGAAAAGTTTAGCTGAACTGATGTAATCCCAAATCAAATGTTCCATGTCAATTTAACATTGGGCATCTTCTTCAAATAGTTTATAATTTGATCCACGCCTAATCAAATTTGAGTTAGAAACATGATCAGATTTGCACATGGAAACTTATCTAGAGCACATCTCAGCACTAAGACTTGAAGCTAGAAAGCTGTGAGCGCAATAAGAATCTATCCAAGAACAGGTCAGACTGTTTTACTTATTCTCTTTTCCAGATGCAGACAGAGTGAGGATATAAGGGTTTTTTGGATTAGATCATGGAAGTGGACAGTTCCACAAACAAATGAACAAACAAAGCCTCTTCTGCAAGGACAGAAATGAGTTGAATGGATATTTAGGAGAAAAAAAATAAGAGACTTATCTCTCCTATAACTAAGGACGTTACGTAGCTTAAGCACTTATCCTCTGTGATAAAAGGGAAGATGGGTACAGCTGGATCACTTAACATGGTGCTTGTCTTCCCAAAGGTGTTGGGAATCTGAGCGGACTTTGGAATGTGAGTACTTTGTACCCTCTTCCTATTTTCCTCAGCCTTATGCTTTGTTCTCACAAAGCATTTCCCAGAAGTAAGACACTGATAAGCCCCAATGATCTATTTTGGTATGCAGCTGATACTGAAATAGAAAAGCAAATTCTGTGACATGTTTTTCTCTTACTCCCAAAAGGCAGAGAGTCTGGAATGTGAGAATTTATTTCCAGCAGGGCTTAGATAACAGTAGAGTCCATATTTGTTTGCAACAGTCTTCATGCTTTAGGCCAAAACACACATAAAAGGAATACTTCAGAACTAGAGTGTGACATAGTCAGTTTGCCATCACAGATTCCTTTCGATCCAGAGGACTTCTTTTATGTCAAACCAGGTTTCCAGGAAATGACATGTTCTATTGATTTATTTTATTATTTATTATTATTATTATTTATTATTTGATGTGATAATCAAATCTGTAGGGCTGCTGTATAATAAAATAGATGTATAAAACAGTAATTACCTAAAACATATATGCCACACACACACACATATATATATATACATACATACACACACATATGCACACACACACACACACATATGCACACACACACACACACATTGTTATCATCCTTTTGCGGGGTCAAGCTAATTTCTTTGTGTTATTCCAATTTTAATTTAGGTGCTGCCAACATTTTCTTTTTTTTTAAATAGCATATTCAAAAGCAATATATAGAGATGAATGTACAATGTGGATTGCATGCAGCATTTGTTATGAGATTATGATTTGTCTTTTATAATTATTGAAATTTTTAAATAAAGAAATAAATAAAAATACTTATTTTTAAAATAAAGAGAAAAAGAGGCACTTAAAAGATCTTATCTTCTATGGAATATCCATGGAATATCCATGATTTTCTTTTATGTGCTGGAAAATTAGCTGTAATTCTTAATTTTTGCCAGTACAATAGAAACCAAGCAATAGTCTGCCTAAACATAAGAAAGCATTGGAACAATAAGGTCGGTTCTTATCAGTGGTGAGATTCAAATTTTTTTACTACTGGTTCTGTGGGCGTGGCTTGGTGGGCATGGCAGAGGAAGGATACTGTAAAATCTCCTGTCAGAGGTGGTATTTGCTGGTTCTCCAAACTACTCAAAATTTCCACTACCGGTTCTCCAGAACTGGTCAGAACCTGATGAATACCACCTCTGGTTCTTATGCACCTATTATATACATAAAAATATTTTAATTTTCAGCCCGTTATATTTCAGTGGCAGTTTTCCAGGGCTAAAATGGCAATAAATGCACTGCAGCACATCAAGCTATCATTCTAACTCGTTCATCCTTGTCCTCTGACAAAAACTGTAATGGAATTAACTAACCGATTACTCATGAGGAATGTCCATCAGCTAGCACTTCATGACACTGAGTCTTGACAATATATGAAAAATGCTTGAGAAAAATAAGTACAAAGTCTTCAAATAAACTAGTAGGATCTTGGATTAAGAAATGAGACAGAAAGAATGCAAAGAGCTGTGGAATTGCAGACTTAAAGAGCTCAGTGGGCAATATTATGAGAATAGGCTTGTATGGACTTATTTATATGGTTGCCTCTGGTGAGGATAAATGACCTCTGGATGACCAGCTTCAGAACTTTAAACTAGAATACAATTCTTAGGTGTTCTTTTTTAAAATTATCAATATAAAGTGACTGATAAAGAAAGCTTTGAGAGAAGTCAGGTTTCAAATCGTGAATTATAGAAATCAATTTAGTCTCTAATGCACTCCTCTGAATATTCATTATTGACCATCCCCCTTGAATTCAATAGATATAAGATTTCAAATTGCCATTTTAATGTAGATTACACAATATTAAATGAATAAAAGAAGTCAATTTTGAATATAAAAACTCTAATAGAATCTTTGTGAATATTGAAATTCCATTAATGGATTAGAGGGAGAGTTGTTTCAAGCACAAAGAATGCTTTGTCATTTTAGAAAGAAACATTTTGCTTTGATTTTTCAGAGGTAGAAAATGTAAAAGTAAAACCAAGTTCAGTTTTGTCTGAAAGACGCCTTTTTCATTTTCTTCTGCTAGACTGATTATTCAGAATTCAGTTGCAGAAATTGAAGTATAATACAAAAGAAATGGCTATTAGTCTATGTTAAATATCTCTGTTCCTGTTATAAGATCAACAATCAGAGGGAAGAAAATATCTTTCAATTTGTTAAGATGATCTACATTGGGTTGTTAATTCTAAATCTTTGCTTAATACATGAAACTTAGTGTATTAATGTGACTCTACGCTCTTTTTAAAAAAATTCTTCCTCTGGAGGCCTGAATGTGACCAAATGGAGTGAAAAAGGAGTGTGGAAAATTCACATCAGACCCAGCTGAGAACACTGTGTCTTAAACATTAAAGGAAAATAACAGACAATTATGTAGAAAGAAATATAACTGTGGGGTTGAGAAAAAATATTTGTAAATTGTCTGAAAATCCAGGGGAATCTAATTGATTTCCCCATTCAAAGAGAGAAAAAATGCATAATCAGGCAGATGTTTGGTGAAGGCTAGCTGTCAACCTTGAAGCAAAACTGGGAAAAGAGGAGGACAAAATGCAACCAGGTCTGGAGTAAGAGCTTTAAAAAGTGTATGAATCCAGGTTTTTATTTTATTTTTCCAAAGATAGTGGACTAAAGACTTCTCAGAACTGTTTTTTAAAGTTAAAGGAAAATTAGAGTGGGAAGGAGAGTCCCTTTTGCCCTTTAAAAGACCCCCCCACACACACCATGATTTATGCAGGAAAATACAGGCAATTTATGACCTGATTTTAGTACACGGATGAGAGGGAATGACATTTGTTTCCAGACTGATATTCTAATTCCAGTTAGGGATTGCTGAGAGTCAGCACCATGGAGAACTCCCTCAATTCAAGTTTACACTTCCAAAATAGGAATTGTCTAACAAATTACCTGGTATAAACTCATAAATTATGTCTCTTAAAAACACCTTTGAATTCCTCTACAACATCTAATGGATCATTAGATAATTTATATTCAAAGTAACATCGTGCTTTTTTTCCTTGAGGCTGATTTTTGATAACTCACTCTTAGATTTTATCCATAGTAAATCATCTGAGGATTAAATGAAAACTAATACTTCCACAGCCATAACATTGGTTTTACTAGGAAAATAAATGAAACAAGAAAATAATCGTGGAAATGAGCTCTTTTCTTGAATTTACATCTCTGTGTAGTCACTATCTTTGCTATTTACTATGATCCAAAATGGACAAGATTCTTAAAACTGGCACCCCAAAAAACTATACATTTTGCAAGTTAAAGGTATTATATTAGTGGCATTTAACTCTTACAATATTGGATATACTATACAATCACTTTAAAATGTCATAGGAGCTGTAACAAAAGAGAAATTGCCATATATGGTAGACATGTAATAAAACAACAGCCTTCTGGCACAACATTTTTAGTGAAATTAGTATTATTACAACCAAAGATTTGAATGCTCTCAGAACCCAGTTTGTTATATCCCTTTATGCAATACACAATAAAAAGCTGATTGTCTATTTGCTATTGGCAACAAAACCAATTATTTGTGGACCAAAAAGCTTTCCCAAATGTTTTATTAGAAAAAACACTTTATTAGAAAAAATATATAATGATGAATTTCTAAAGGCAAGAACCACACTTTTATCATGCTTGGACAGATTATATTCATTACATCATTTGCAACAGTGTAATTTTGTTAACTGTTACAACATATGGCAATTAATAACAACTTTAAGATTTTTTGGTAACGGCCTTCTACTTTTTATATTATATTTTTGGTGTTTGTCCTTATAATACTGTATATTCTTTGTTTAGTCATTTCTCTCTTTGTGTAAACTACTGTTCATTAAACAAAAGTAATAGTTCACTTAAAAATACATGCTTGAATAGCGTGGTGTATAACAGAACAATCCATTCTTGAACTAAACTCTAGAAATGGGATCCTACCATATTATTTCTTGGAAGCCTGTTGGAATGAGGTAGAGTAACTGTAGTATTTCTTTGCAGCAGAATGAAAGGAGTATTTAAGTGAAATAAACCTCAGAATTACCAGAAAAGATTGAAAGGCATATACATCGTTATCATATGGGCCCAAACAGTTTATTGATCTTCCAGTTTTGGCCCAGCAAAATGTGATCTAGCACCTCTTGAGAAACACACACACAGGAAGGAAAAGGTGGGTGTTAGTTTTTTTGTGGTGTTTATCAAGAATGGTACTTATTCATGATGTCAAGCTGCCTAATATATTTTTGACATTCTATCATGGCAAGAAATATTTGCAGAAAGTTTAGGTTTCTCTCTAGCACCTAAGTTGCTTTTTTCTTTCATTTCTCCTTGCATCAAGGTTTCGGTCTTATGTTTACAGGTGAAATATTACTAAAGTTGGAAAACTTATGACTCAGAAGTTTCAGTGTCTGTACTGGGCAGAGAGCACAATTGATGCAAGATAGTAGATTGTGTGTGGAAATTGAGAAAACCATGTTCCTTGAATCAAGAGCTGCCTATATCATAAACACCAAGAAATGTTTATTTGGTAAGAAAATAAAAGAAAAGGGTGGCACTTGAACTTCTGGGAGCTTAAAGGATTATTCAACTTCCTACGTCTGTGTTAAGCAAAATGAAAATCTTTAAACAATGGATCATGACCCAATCACTGGAAGGCTCACTTTTGCTCTGTAAATACCAAATGGCAAAGAAAGGCTTATTTTGCATAAATTAGAGGCAATCCTCTAGTACCAACCCTCTGGAAATTGAATCCCACATTTGGCAACTGCTGGAGCTTCTCTGATTTGACATGGCTGCCTCTTGCAGGAATCAAGTCCTATGCGTGGATCAGCCTTTTTCTCCTGCTGCTTCAAGTCAATGGAATTTTTGCTCATCCTTTCCCTTCCCTTAAGAGTCTGCTCCGTGTTTCCCTAGAAGCTGCATCTGAGGTAACAATTGTATTGCCACCTTCACCCATTTATTGCTTTATACATTTAATTTATTCTTTTATTGCCTTTAAAATAGTGACGAAAAAGAAATGGAAAAAAACACAGAAATAAAAATATATGCATTGTAAAATAAAAGAAAAATACAAATAAGTGCTTTTAATAGAAAGTAAAAAATACAACAAAGAAAAAATATCCTTTTAAGAGGAACTGGAACTCTACAAACAATTATCTAATGAATTATTATTCAAGCAGATAGTATTTCTAATACATGTATATAATTATTATTTTTAAAAATACCTACTGTACTCTGTATGAATGAGTCCCATCTTTCATGATATGTGTCTATGCAAAATCTATGTCCATAGGCAATCCTGCATAGGAGGCAGGTGCATTCAGGTCTCCAATCCATTGAGTACCTCACCAGAGTCATTATGTAAGGTGGGCAGCTATACAAATGTGAAAAATAAATATAAACTGCACGAAAAATTCTCCACACAAAATGTAGGTTAATGAAATGATATTTTTCAGCTATAGGGCATCATGACCTCCTCCTTGGGAGCTGCTCTCCTAAAGTGATGGATTAAGGCTGGTAGGTAAGAAGGGGAACTGTGTAAAAGAAAAGGATTAAAGTGGAGTTGATATGACCTGAAAAGATTTGGAGAGATCTTGATTGGAGGAAAGGTCTTGGTGGAATGTGGAACCTGCTGGAACAACTAGAGATCTAATGCATTGTAACGTAACAGAATGCTCAGTAGGGAGCACTCTTCTTCAGGACAAGCTCAGCATGAATACAGCTCGTGAGTTGTCTGCTCTTCCTATTCCTGTTCTACCTTTCTGCAAAGAGTCTCTAAGTGGCAATAGAAATCAATCTCTGTGTCTTGATTCTCAACTAATTGCAAAGATTTGGAATCAAGCATGGTTCCCACAACCAAAGATGTGCCAGTCTTCTCAATTAATGACCCCCCCCCCTGAAGGGTACAGCTATACATCCCTAATTAACCTCTTATCAGTTTGCCATTTGCAAAAGGCTCGTATCAGTTTATCTTACCAACTATACCAGTATATTCTGCAATTAAGGCTGGAGAGTATTGTCTTATTATGAACACAAAAAGAGCCATGGAGATGACCTTGTCGAAACTGGGCAAAGATGATGGTTGCACAAACAAAGCACAGGCAATCAATGTATGTTACTCTATACTGTAACAATAGACCATAGTTCCAATTAATCTTGTGCAATCTTTTTCCTGACCTGACTTGCCTTTAAGGACAGACAGAACATAGAGTTTTTACCACTTCATAGGTTCCAGATGAGATAGACATACTGGTGGCATCTTCCAGGGTGTATTTCTGAGGATCAAATTGCCACAACAATATATTTAGTTGAGGCCCTGCATGTACCATTTCTGAAAATTATGCATATAGGCTTAGTGGGGTAGTCTAGTTCCTTTGTAGGAATATGGAAGCAAATATCCCAATGGATGATAATATATCAGTCCCAGTTCACATTTTTGTGCTCATTAATGTCATGGTTATTTTTCCTCTTTTCAGAGTTGATTGGCAGCAAGCATCTGTCCGTTCTGCTAAAAGATGAAATATTTACAGATTTCTTCAACACATTCCTAAATCTTCCTGTAAGTTTCCCTCTTGAGTCAAGAATCATTTTCTGTGTATGAACCAGTTATCAAAAACCTGTCATGTTGGCCTATAGCGCTATGCAAATTTGGTAACCATGATCTCAATTATTTCTTTTTTTTTTTTTACTAGTACTTTCAGTGAAGTGGTGATAACACAACATAAGACAGATGTACAGGATCATTAAGGAGAGATTCCAAGTTTTTTTTTCTCTAGGTCAGACATATACTGTACTTGATCCCATTGAACACTTAGTATATACTGTAACTACTATATTGAGATAAAATATATAGAAGGATGGCACTAGATGGCAGCAAAAGTTAGAGATTTGATCCAATTTTTTTCAGGGCAGATTTGTTAAGGTTAAGTCATCTTTAAGATGGGCTCCACTCATGGTGATTTCATGGACACATCCACACAGTTTTATTAAGGGGAGGATGGAAGCAGTTTGTCACTTCTTTCTGGGATGTTTTCAGCTTCCCCATCTAGCTTACAGTTCTGGAATTTCCTGGAGGTCTCCCATCTGGATACGAACCATACCTTACTCTGCTTAGCTTCTGAGCCAAGGCAAAATATGCCCAGTTTTGTTTAGCTATACTCTAACACAGAGGTAGGGAAACTTGGCTCTTTTATCACTTTATCATGGACTTCAACTCCCAGAATTCCTGAGTGAGCCATAAAAGGTTCCCTATCCTGGGCCTGTTGGTTTTTCAGTTGTGGGGGAAATCAATTTTTGACTTGAATGGGACTGTTTAATATACAAATGTAGGACATATTCTTTATATGTCCTACGTTTGTATATTAAACATATTCTTTATATGTCCTACATTTGTATATTAAACATATTCTTTATATGTCCTACATTTGACTCAGAGGGGGGCCGGGACCATCAGGGAGTGGACTGCTGCCTTCAGGGATGGTGGGGGCTGGCAGCAGTGATGAGGAGGTTCCCGAGGAGCCTGTGCCAAGTGCGCGTGAGTGCAGGATGATTTGTAGAAGAGAACAGCTGAAGCTGCACAGATGACTCGGGAGTAGGATGCAATGTAATGGCCCTTCCCTCCAGGGAATATAAGCCTGGTTTCAAATGGTTTTTGCCTTTGCAAAAGGCAAAAATGTTCAGAGGACTCAGCGTTGTGATTAAAGACTCTGGTTTATTTGAAGACTTCTGCCAAGGTTTTTCTCATTGGACTAATTGGCTACAAGCCATTTGTTATATACAAAGAGGTTTATTTGAAAGTTTGAGTTACTGAGTTTATCTGTGTTTGCTCTTGGGAACCTGGCTGGGTCAGAACAAGTACGTCCTCAGTGGCAAAGCCATGTCTTACCTCTGAGAAAGGGCTCTGAAATTGTTAACATCTTTAATCTCCTAGAAACTTAGGCTCAAGCTATTTTTCAGGCAATAAGAATGAATTGCTAATTGCATTTCTGAAAGTAAGGTATGAAGAGTGGGAATTTAACCATATGTCAACATTGTAATCCCTGTTCAAATTTTATATTTTGGTACTGATGTTGTATCAAAAAGTACCCAGAATCCCCAGTTCCTTTCCACTGCATACAAAAGAGGGAGAGATATGATTGGATCTCAGTAAGGCTTCTATTAACCTTGCTGGCTGAGGAGTTCTGAAAGTTGAAGTCCACACAGCTTAAAGATTGTCGAAGTTGAGAAACATTGCCTTTAAAAAATCAGTAAGTGGTAATTGTGTAAATTACATCTAGCTATGCATCTACATCTGTATCTAGGCAGAACATGATGTTTTGCTTTGATTCTTTTTTACAATGTACTCAACATTTGCTTGAAGCAAGGTTCCTAACATGGTATATAGGTAGTCCTCGACTTACAACAGTTGTTCATTTCGTGACAACGGCACAGAAAAAGTGGCTGATGATCATTTTTCACACTTAATGACTTGCGGCATCCCCACAGTCATGTGATCAAAATTTGGACTCCTGGCAACTGATATGGTCACCTTTTGCAACTTTCTGGCAAGCAAAGTCAATGGGGAAGCCAGGTTCACTTAATAACCGTGTGGCTAAGTTAATAACTTCAGTGATTTGCTTAACAACTATGGAAAGAAGGGTCGTAGAATGAGACAAAATTCACTTAACAAATGTCTCATTTAGCAACAGAAATTTTAGGCTCAATTGTGGTCTTAAACTGAGGACTATCTGTATATTCTTCTCCCATTTTCCAATATGTTCTTGCAACGGGTTGTGTTTCAAAAACCCCACTGAAGTTGATTTCCCCCTTAGCACCTAAGGGGAAAGAGAAAATAAGCGTATCTATATCCATAGAAACTGAAACCTCTTTTCCTTTAATTTCTACCTGCTTAAGAATGATTGCCAATTTTCAATCCTGATTTTATTTGTTAAACATAGATTATTAATTGCAGTCAAGCAGAATGTGACCCACTCCCAATGAGGTTGCCTCAGCGTTAGCCAACATACCTAGTAATTATGATGAAGGGTGGTACAGCCCACCAATAAGGTAAAGGTAAAGGTTCTCCTCACACACACACACGTGACAGTTGTTTCCAGCTCTAAGGGGCGACGCTCGTCTCCGTTACAAAGCCGAAGAGGCAGCGCTGTCCAAAGACGTCACCATGGTCATGTGGCCGGCATGACTAAATGCCGAAGGTGCACAGAACGCTGTTACCTTCCCACCAAAGTGGTCCCTATTTTACTACTTGCATTTTTACATGCTTTCGAACTGCTAAGTTGGCAGAAGCTGGGACAAGTAGCAGGAGCTCACTCGGTTACGCAGTGCTAGGGATTCGAATCACTGAACTGCCAACCCTTCTGATCAACAAGCTCAGTGTCTTAGCCACTGAGCCATTGCATATTATTGTTGTTGTTGTTGTTATTATTATTATTGTTGTTGTTGTTGTTGTTGTTGTCATCATCCAATATACCTAGTAATCATGATGAAGGGAGGTACAGCCCACCAATATCTGAGCCTAAGTAGCAGCTTTGCCTGTACATAGCTGGGTTCCTACACCATGCTAAGTCGTAATATGACTGGTTAGGCATAGCAAAATGTGTGAATCTGGTTTATCTCCCCTCTGCTTCATCTCTCTCTGCAGGTGTTTGGTCAGACACCTCTTTTCATTTGCAGAACGCGACAGTGGTACCTGTGGCCAGAATTACCATGCAACCAGGTATGATTTTTCAGTGGTGTTAGAGGATGGATGTCATTGATTTATTCCAAAACCTGGGAAATATAGCATATTAAATAGAGCTTCAATACTGTAGGCTTGTAATCTAATCATTGTCATTCTTTTCCATAAGATTAAAGTACAAAAAAATGTTTGAAAGCCCAAAGTATATTAAAAATGTCTCAGCGCAAATCAAGATAAAAAGAAGATGCTTGATGAGAATATACTTATCTTTTATGGTCAATTCTTTGAAGTATGTTATGTTTTACGGTGAAAATTGGAATTTGTAGGCACCCATGCCTTATGTCAACAACTTCTTTGTGTAACCCAGAACAGTTTGCATTAGTGTTTTTCAACATAATGTCCACAATTTTATCTATTTGTGTTCTCTTTTTAGGGGCAAATGCAACTGTGTGATTGTCCCAAAGGTGCTTTTTCAAAAAGCAACTAGACTTCATTTTTCCTTGAAGACATTTTGCTTCTCATCCAAGAAGTTTCTTCAGTTCTGTCATTATTTCAGGGGTCATTGTTCTGTAGTTTATGGCAGGACACCCTTTAGTCTCCAAGAATCAGAATGGTCACTCTAGCAGTAAAACTAAAGGAAATAAAAGGAGAAGATAAGAGAGAAGAAAATAAGATTTATTAAATCTAGTTCACCCATCCTCATCTCATATTTATTAAACAATCTACTTGTTCCAGTGTTTTTGTCACTCATCTACAGCTTCAGATTTACTTCTCCTTTCCCTTAGCTCTACAGGCACATGATATACTTATTTTCCTTCTTTCATTTCTTAATTCATATTCTTTACTCCTCTTTTATTCTTCTGCACTTAAGACTACATTCAGGTCCAGTATTTCTGACTTTTATATCATCAGCATTGGGAAGTCTCCAAAATGGTGGCCAGATTTTGTGCCATTACCATGGCAACCAGAAGATACTGGTTCCATACAATAGGTAGGGTTAATCTCAGGTACAAAGAGATTTTAAGTCGTGGTTAATCCTTTCTTCTGACAGAATCACTCACATATGGTCACAGGTTCTCTAGAAAACAAGTCATAAAGTTCTCTAAGGTTGCCTGCATTTCAGAATGGCAATTCTTGCATTAATCTTTGGCTCATTCAGATTATTTTTTAAAACATTTCATTGCTCTTTTGGGGGGTTCATACAGGTATCAAAGCACAAAGGCTTATTGAATTGGATGGAGAAGCATCGGCTGCCTTTCTTCTGCAAAACAAATCTGTTTCTTCACTATGTACTCTGTGAGGAGCTTGTCAGTTTCATCCGGTCTCCAGAGGCAGGTGAGAGTTGAAGCTAAATGTGTTACGTTAACACAGATAGCTGATGCCATGGATCAGCTACTCTATGCGCTGAGGGAAGTACCAGGTTGTGACAGGTAGCTACTCCAATGGCTCTAAGTATCTGACAAAAACATTCCTCCATCATAATGCTTTGATTGTCAACTGCTGACAAAAACGGGGAGGGCAACCAAGTGATGGCTCAACCAATGACTTCACATAACACAGCCTGTATATCCAGAACCAGCTCTCTACCATCCAATGGCAAGCTAGGGCAGGAGCAAAATTGATAGCAATTTTTGTAACCACATATTCTCCTGCTAGCTAAAGACCATGTAGATGACACTTTAATAGAGGCGTTTAATGAAAGGCCCTTCAGTTAAGAGCACTGCTTTAAACATGACTCTAAAAACCTTCCAAATGTGCAGAAGTATGAATAAATCACCCTGACTGCAAGTCCTTATTGCAGTTCTGATTTTTTTCCTGGAATATTGTACCTTTCCTTTGTTGTCACACAAGTCTAGAAAGAGACATGGCTGCTTTCCAGGTTTGCAGACAGCTACTACACTTGCACTCCAGCATTGTCTTCAGCACTACAGAGCCCTACTTTCTACTGCTGTCCCAACCAAAGTGAATTAAACCTAAGTAGAAATTCTGCAACACTTTCCATTGCTAAGTATTGATCATGCTGATGTTTTGTTGTAAGTCTTACTTAAGGAGTCATAGATTCTGTTCAGTAGGCAGCTATTTTCCATTTTACTAGACCAGCCTGACCAACAATCAGAAAGGAACCAGTGACTTACCTAATAGTAATTGAGGATTACACTGACAGCCTTATTTTCCAAAGGTTGTGAATGTGACAAGAGAAGGGACATTTTATTAAGCACTAAGCCCTGCCCATCTGGTTCAAGTTCTCCAACACTTTGCCAAGAAACTGTCACTACATCAACTCCAACAGACCCAGTTTTGTATAGTAGTTAAAGCATCACCCTAGAAACTGGGGAACTATGAGTTCTACTTCTGCCTTAGACACAAAGCAAGTGTGTTGACCTTGGGCCAGTCACTTTCTCTCTACTCTAGAAAGAAGGTCATAGCAAATCACTTCTGCAAAACCTTGCCAAGAAAACTGCCGGAACTTGTCCAGCAGCCACCAGGAATCAACAATGACCTAACAACAATTTTTTTTAAAAAAAAGTCAGCTCCAAGCATTTGTTCAAGAAATAGTTGCATTCTGTCACATTATAACTTTACACTTTATGCAAAACGTGTACTTAAGCAAAACCTCTCACTAAAATTACAGTTGTTTGAGGCATATTTTGCTATCCAAAAGATCACCATTCCTTAGACATTTCCAATGAAAGTGGTTCAAGTTAAAAACGGACGGACAGGTCTTGTTACAGAGTACAAGCTTTTGTACATTGTACAAGCTTTTGATCTTATAAATCTGAAATGCAAACTGGCTGGTTAGTCATGGAGTTAAAAACTGCAGCTGGATTAATTATATTAACATAGAAAGAAGCAAGTGATGGGTTTTTCAGTGGACAGCAAGGCCTTTTCAGTAGGAAAGAGAAAGCAAAGCCCAGTTGATGACCTGCCTTCTTCTCTTTTTTTCCCTATTTTGTCACTTTTGGTACAAAAACAAATAATTTCTACGCCATGGGGCAGGACCCCATTCCACCCCTGTAAAAACTGTTATGTATTTGCATACTTGAAATACTGCCTTGTGATTGGTCTGTCAATACTGCCCCTTGATTGGTCCATCAACACAACCTCTGATTGGTCCGTCCTGTACATTTGAATACTTGTAATACTATCTTTTGATTGGTCCGCCTGACGGTGGGAGAATTCAAGGAGCCGTCATTGGCCGCGAAGCCGCGAGCAGCCGCTATAAAAGAGGCTGCCGCGGCTCCGGCTTTTTGAGTTTTTGCAAGAGACTAATAAAGAGCTGAAAGTCGCACTGGTCTCAAGTCGATCTTTCCCGCGACATAACAAAAACGTTCTCTGCTGACATTGTCTTTGCTTTTGCTTTGCAGCTGAGATGTTGCGATGGAAAAAGGCTGATCAGTGGCTGCTTGAAAAATGCATTGCTGGCTGTAGAGGCATGTGGCGTTTTCGGTCCTTCATGCAAGGAATGGCAGGTAGACAAGGCAGCACTAGAAATCATGTACCAAGAGAAACAGCGCTAAGTTGAAATATTCCTCTCCCGGGTCAATGGAGAACCATAGTTCAAAGAATAAAGCTGTCATGACTCCAACAAATCCACCCCCATTCAAAAGTCTCTAGCCGCATCTCTCGGAGTAAAAAAAAATGATTTATTTGGAGTGGCCATGTTGGCATTAGCTGGGTGCACCAGACACTAAAATACATCATTTATTTCCCCCTTGACCCTGGTCTTCCTCCCACCCCTGGACATATATTTTCTAATGGGACACATCCATAGCCAAAAGTCATCAATCATGCTCTCCAGTAATATTGTTGTGTGCCAACAGCTTTGGGCTGCCAATGCGATTATCTGAGGCATTTAAGGAATGCACTGCTTTCCTCCACTTCCTTTTTGCTGGAAACTAAAAAGACCAAAGGAGTATTTTTTTTTAGTTGACAGAAGAATAGGAAGGGGCCTCTGGTTCCAATCTTTGACTGTTTAAAATTTAATAAATTTTAACAGCTAAATGTTCTTGCTGAAATCCTACAGAGCTAGAATGAATATATCTTCCCGGATCTGAGTCGTATTTCCTGCCTTGTCCCTTTTTAGAAAACATTGCAAAACCTGGTGTGGGTGATATGACCAGCAAAAGAGGTTAGCTGTGATCATACTAGCCTTCACCCATACTGTCCTAAATTCTATGCCTTGGAAACACAAGTACAAAAAAAAAAAATGAAAATAAAAGATAAGAAAGAAAGGAGGGAAAGACTGTTCTAATCAGTGGCTACTAGGAAAAAAAATCTTACGATCTGCTACTAATAAGAAAGAGGAAGGATTTGCAGGATGGGATAGATATAAAAGCAGAGAGGAAGCATTATCCTACTTTACCTAGTCCCATTATGGAGAACCTATGGCATGCATGCCAGAGGTGGCACGCAGAGTCTTCTCTGCAGGCATGCGAGCCTTAGCCCCAGCTCAGCTCCGCCGTACATACGCATCTTCCACCAGCAAGCTGGTCTTTGGATCTCTGTCATGCATGCACAAGGGGTGGGGTGCATGCACAGGGGCAGGGGCATGCATGGGCCCATGTGGGTGCATGGGGCGCACATGCATGTGTGGGGGTGTATGCTTGGGGATGCACTCGCATTGTATTTTGGGGGGTTGCGCACCCATGCATGCGCATACACTTTGGGCACTTTGTGCCAAAAAGGTTAGCCATCCCTGACCTAGTCTAGGATTACCATATCTCGGCTGAAGAAATATGGATTCCCACAAGATGTCAACCAAGAGTCAGAATTTGATTTGTCTTTTGCTGGCCTCTAGGAGTCGTCCTAGCCCAGCCACCATTTCCAAAGGAAGACACACACACACACTGGGGATGCTTATGAACTGGGCCTAGACTGAGAGAGAGTGACTGATCCAAAGTCACCCAGGGCTTCTGCTTTCTAGCCTGGTTTTTTTAACCATGAATCTTTTTTCTTATTTAAGTTCTCAGATAAGACAATAGAACTATTGTCTATTTCATTCATTCATTCATTCATTCAATTTCTATCCCACTGATACAGAACTCTGGTCATGTTTTCATACCAGAGGTCCACAATCCCACAACCCCAGAAGTTGGCTTTATTGCAGGAATATTTCCTTAAGATCAGTGGGGGATTCAAGAATTTCCACAGGTAACCCCCCCTTTTTTTTTACAAGAAAGCAAAGAAAGAAACACCGACTTGAACTATTTTGTTAGTATCTGGTATTGTTGGGGACTACAGATGTGGCAAAATCAGTGCTCTAATTTCTACAGGAGAAGAGCTCACCAAGTTCTGGCTTGCTGCAGAAAGGATACTTGGCATTGATGAAACAGATGAATCCCAGCAAGATCTCTATGTGTCGCTGATCCAGATCCTAATGGCCACCCACTTGCAGGAAGGGTCTACAGTTGTCACCCTCTGTAACACAACTGTTGGTAAGTGACCAGGGGTGGGATTCAAATTTTTCAACAACTGGTTCTGTGGGCGTGGCTTAGTTGGTGGGCATGGCTTGGTGGGCATGTGACTGGCTGGGTGTGGTCAACTCAACATTACTCACATCGAGGCACGCATCTCCTCGCCTGGCCTCTCAGCAGATACGTTGTCTTCTGTTCTGAGAAGGTTCTGGGGTGGGTGGATCTTGGGAAGGTTCCAGTTTCACGAAAACCTCTGTTCTCTTACCACAGAGCCCACCCAGAGCCTAGTGCCAAATGATTTGGTTTCTGTATTGCCGTGATCGTCAGGGGTGGGATTCAAATTTTTGAACAACCGGTTCTGTGGGCATGGCTTAGGTGGTGGGCGTGGCTTGGTGGTCATGTGACTGGGTGGACATGGCTTGGTGGTCATGTTATTGGCTGGGCGTGGCCAACTCAATATCACTCACATCAAGGCACGCATCCCCTCGCCTGGCCTCTCATGACTGTGGGGATGCTGCAACAGTCGTAAGTGTGAAAAATGGTCATAAGTCACTTTTTTCAATGCCATTGTAACTTTAGATGGTCACTCCACACAAGCAAAGTACCAATAAAGGAGGAAAAAAAACTCCAGAGAAGTTCCAGAGACAGGAAGTCTAGTCCTGCCAAGAATGTAATATGGGTTAACGGAGAGGCAGTTTCTGTAAGCAACACCAGAATGTTTCCTTCCTGCCTTCCTTACAGGATTAGGCCAGTAATTTCTTCTAACAACTGGTCCTCCGAACTGCTTAGAATGTTAACAACTGATTCTAGTGAATAGGTGCGAACCTGTAGAATCCCACCCCTGTAAGTGACATATATCTTGCGGTCAGAATTGTCATTTTCTAGCTACATACTGTGCTGGCTGTGCTTTCTTCAAAGAAAGTTATATGAAAAGCAAAATCTATCTAGGTCAGGAACTTGCTTTCTTACAAAGATGAAACCCACGCTTCCAAAGAGCCTTAGAACTCCATCTGCTTTCCCTTTTCTTTTCATGAGTAATTTCTGTGCATGTGCACACACACACACACACACACACACACACACACCTGTTTCACAACATTGAGATTCTATTCAACATTATGGATTTCCTCTCAATGACCCTTAGTAGACATGGTCAGAATAACACTCAGTAGATGTATTTGTATTGTACATTTAAATCCACTACTGAATTGCTTCATATTCTGAGTTCACATAGTATATTGAAACCACAAACCAATGAAACAGACAAGGGTTGCACAAGCCTTAAAACCACAAAAGAACCAACCGAGGTTAATAATGACCATACTGACATATGATAATGCAGCCCTTAGGCCTTTAACTAGTTAAATGTTTCATATGAACGCACACCCATTTAGAATCTAGAAGGAGGTATGAATATAATTTTGACATATAGTCATTTTACAAATCTGTGCATGTATAGGCTTGAAATGTTCCTTAACATTTTAAATCACAGAAGAAGCCTTGGCTATCAGAAGCATAGAAAATTCTTGCAGCAGAACAATGGGATTATCTGAGCTTCCTCAAACTGGCATTCCTGCAAATATGCTCACATTGAACTTGCAAAATTCCTAGCCAGAAAATTCTCAGAAAGATTTGCCTAGGCAGTAACAGCTCAGTAATGGCCTCCTTAGGTCTGATCCAAACATCAGAAATCTACAAGTCAACATGGGATTAAAAAAATTCAAATAGACTCTTTTCCTCCTTTCATAAACAAGGCAATCCCTGAGCCCTCTTTTTCTGGTTTGTTCTTCTGTTCCCAGAATCACTTCTGAAAAAGACTCCCTTTCACCAGCAACACGTTCACACTCGAAGGGAAATCCTACATGAGATGCAGAAAGTGGCCCTGTTCAAGATTGAAAGCTACTGGCTCCCCAACTTTTTCATTCATTGCAAATTAAGCATGGAAGAAGAGCCCAAGTGTCTCCGACTACTCAAGCAGTATCAGGACCGCTCACTTCAAGTTGGCCTGCAGAGGCAGAAGTTGACAGCTATGCCTCCGATGAGCATCCGAGAAAGCCATTTGGACACAAAATTCTACTTCAGTTTGAAAAACAAGAGGGAACTCTGGGATCAGATCAGAGGTAGGAGCCTTTCTCACAAAGGGAAAAAAAAAGATGGCCGCAGCCAGAAGTCCAAATCATATAAAGGCAGTCCTGTTGCCAAGAAGCTGAGCTTCTCCAGAAAGAGCTTGTCAAGTGCCAGCCCTCGTCACACAGAACCCATCTGGGACTCTGAAGATGGCACGCCTTTCGATGAATCGCCGAACTTCAAAAGCAGCCCAAGCCAGTTCTTCACCTCTCCTGTATTGGATGAGTTCCCTGACAAATGCACCTTTAACAAATTGCGCTCCTCCACTCCGGTGGTGCAGTTCCCTTCCATGCTCACTCTGAAAACTCTCGTCAAATCTTCCCCATGCTTAGACTTCCTTCCTTGGGTGCTCACGGCTGACAAATGTGCTGGACGCCCCTTCAGGGAGTTTTTGCTACGGCGGAACTACGCAGTAGAAGTCCATCTCCTTGATCTGTGGCATGACCTGGAGGACTTCTTGCGCATGATGTTGTGCTCCCTTGGTGAAGGGAACATCCTTCTGCGTCACGTGATGGGGGAAAGGATTTGTGAGCTGTATCTGACGCAGAGCAACAACTGGCATCTGCCCCTGAAACTAACAACACTCCAGAGCTTGCAGAATCTCCTGCCTTCTGGTCATGTGATTCCCTGGGTCCTGAAGGCACAGAAGGAAATCTGTAAGGTGGGAAGTCCATAATCTCCATCCTTTTCATAGGCAAAGCAACCTAATCTTTCAGCAGCTTTGCTAGGTCCTGGGGCTAGGATGCACGCAATACCTCTGGTTTGCCAAACAGGTAGAAAGGGTGCTTCGCTGCTTGTAACTAACATGGCACAAATGTGCTTTGGCACATTTGTATAATGTTGCTTTGGCAACATTTGCTTTCTGCAGGGTTCCCCCTTATTCTAAAACTTAAATAAAATCTGCTGGGCTTTTTCACCCATTGCTTGCGAGGAAGTTAGGAGGAACAGACGCAATAGAGGCCAAATAAGGATTGGCAATGGAAGCGTCAACATTTCTGATAGCGCAATTTACCGCCAACTCAAAAAATGGGAGGAGAAAACAGTATTCAACAATAAGGAAAGGACCAGTATCTAGTTCAGGGTTGTCCAACCTTGGCAACTTTAAGACTTGTGGACTTCAACTCCCAGAATTCCTCAGCCAGCTTTGCTGGCTGAGGAATTCTGGGAGTTGAAGTCCACAAG